CTCCGCACTAGGCACAGGAAAGTGGCCGTCTAGGGCAGGAGAGCTGCCAGCCTGGCCACCCAGGACCAGGTGTGCATGAAAATCAAGGGGGTCCACTGAGACCCCCGACACTGAGCCCTGAGCTTACAATGGCCGTCCTGGGTCAGACCAAAGGTCCATCTAGCCCAGTAGCCTGTCTGCCGACAGCGGCCAACCCTAGGGACCCTGGAGGGGATGGACCGAAGACAATGACCAAGCCATTTGTCTCTTGCCATCCCTCTCCAGCCTTCCACAAACTTTGGGCAGGGACACCACTCCTACCCCCTGGCTAAGACTACTCCATGGACCCAACCTCCATGACTTGATCTCACTTCCCTTTCAACTCTGTTCTAGTTGTAGCCTTCACAGCCTCCTGCAGCAAGGAGTTCCACAGGTTAACTATTTGCTTTGGGAAGAAGAACAACTTTCTCTTACTAGTTTCAAGCCTGCTACCCATTCCTTTCCTTTGGTGTCCTCTAGTCCTTCTTTATGGGAACTCAGGAAGAACTTTTCTGAATGCACCCTCTCCACCCAACCCCTGCTTTTAGAGACCTCTATCCTGTCCCCCCTCCGTCTCCTCTTTTCTAAGCTGAACAGTCCCAGTCTCTGTAGCCTTTCTTCATCTGGGACCTGTTCCCAACCCCTGATCATGTTGGTTGCCCTTCCCTCTCCCAGCCTTTCTCTTCTCCTCTCCCACCTCCTTTTCCCAGTCTCCCCCAGTTTTGTTCAAGAAAGAGAGATTCCATTTTTGAACACAATTGTCCTTTATTTTGTACATCAGGAAGGGGGGCTAGGGAAGGGTAAGTGGAAGGAGGTGAGGGAGGAATGGGGTACGAGCCCCTGATGGGGAGGACTGGGCTGGCTCTGCGGGCTTCTGGGGGTGGAAGCTCTCCTGCAGCCCCCCAATTACTCCCTCTCCCCAGATGGCAGCCTGCGGCAAGTGCAGCCGGGCTGATGGCCGAGTGGTGTGATGTGCCCAGTGTGGGTACTCCGGGCACTCCAAGCCAGAACTTCATTGCAAGCGGGGCACCCCTTAGAACTGTGTGTCCGGGGTGGGGGTCGGGACCCTTTAAGCACAGCCCTCAGCTAGCCTGAGACAGCATCTCCACGCTCTAAGTCCTCCTCTGATGCCCTGCCGGCACTGCTTCCGGCCATCCTTAAGCCCGGTTCAGGGTCCACTTAATGTGGACATGCTAGTTCGAATTAGCAAAACGCTAATTCGAACTAGTTTTTTAGTCTAGATCCGTTAGTTCGAATTAGCTTAGTTCGAATTAACTAATTTGAACTAAGTTAGTTCGAATTAACGTTGTAGTGTAGACGTACCCTTAGAGCTATTCAGAGAATGGCAATTCCAATTTTGTGAAGGATTTTGACATTTGCCATCTTTCCAGTTAGGAGCAAAACTGCAACATTTTGAAATTCTCAGTGAAAGATAATTCTGAAAAATATTTAGTTACAAGTAGAAACATTTCGTTTTGTTTTGCAATTTTTAAAAAATATATACACTTACATAACTGAAACAGTCATTTGAAAATCAGAACACTTCATTCTGTAAATGTCAAAATGGAACATTTTGAAATTGTTTGGAACTCTATTTTTTTTCTCAAACAAGATTTTGGCAACAACATGAAGTGCATGAAGAACATGCATGAAGTGTTTTCATGATTAAACTGTATTCTTCCTCAAAAAAGGGGAAGCTTTGAAGCTTTTCTACACAGCTCCTTTTTCTCTTCTGGTCATTGGCTAGGCTCAAAGCAAGTAGTATTAGAAATCACACAGAAAATCTGGTCTCATGAGACTTCTTGCCCAATTTAGGAGGATGTAGAGATCTGGATAATTCTGATAAGCATAAAACCCCAAATGCTTATTGGAACTAAACACTTGGAAACCGTTTGAGGTATCCTCATTAGCTGGTCTAACTCTAGTCTATTTTTAAGGCCTGTGCAAAGAAGTAATCAATCAGAGGCTATGTCTAGACTGCAGGCTTCTTTCGGAAGAAGCTTTTCCAGAAGAGATCTTCCCAAAAAACTTCTTCCAAAAGAGAGCGTCTACACAGCAAAAGTGCATCGAAAAAGCGATCTGTTTTTTTGAAAAAAAGTGTCCACACTGAATGGATACTATCTCGCATTTAATCTGTGATTACTATGGACAGAGTGGCCACCAGAGCACCTGTGTTTTTTCCTCTTTATTCAAAAGAACTCCCTCTTCCCCATCCACACGCGCCTTTTTCTGAAAGAGTTCTTTCAGAAAAAGGCTTCCTTGTTCCTCATAGAAAGAGGTTTATCAATGTTGGAAAAAAACCCTCTGTTCTTTTGTGTTGTTTTTTTTTTTTGTTTTGTTTTTTGCGATTGCAGTGTGAACATAAGTGAAGATTTTTGGGAAAAAGGCTGTTTTTCCGAAAAAACTCTGTAGTGTGGACATATCCAGAAAGTTTCTCACATCTGGGAGAGAGTAACTTTTTGGACTTCATTGTATCTCTGGGAAAGTGGGACAAGATCAGACAACTGCAGGAGGATCATCTGCACAGTAAAATATAGGGAACCAAACAGGGAATATATAATATAAAGATTGTTTCATGTGATCAAAGAATTGATCCGGTAGGTAAAACTATAGAACATCTTTGACAGAGGAAACCATTAGTTAGGAGTTGAAGCTACATCCGAAAATATCTTGTGGCAATATAGAATAAATAGTAAATTTTAGGTGGTATTAAATACATTACGATTCTCTGAAAATTGAAAACACTTTTGAAATTAGAATATGTAAGCAAACAACTAATTGAAACAAAGCATGCATTGATTGAATCAGGATATATAGACGCATATTGTCTAACTATTAAAATCAAGCGTTTTCCATATTGTACTGCCAGTGGAAAAAATTACATTATCAGATAATAATTCTTACATTCACATTATCTGTAAGCCAACTGTAAAATGTCTATTGTGCAAATCTTTACTAAACTTTTCTATTGCAATGAAAAAAACAGAAACGTCTCATTTTCCTCACAATATAACTTCACCAAAAAGATATGAATTCTGGCCCAATTTAAGAGAGGCCAGAAAACGGTAGGTGTACTCTCAGCATATGAAAGCAGCATTGTGTGCCAGTTTTCTAATCAGTGCCCTGGCTTGTCCCTTAGGGTATGTCTACACAGCAAAATTATTTTGAAATAACAGCCCTTATTTCGAAATAACTTTCCTAGCATCTACACAGCCAAACCACTATTTTGAAATAAAATCAAAATAGCAGAGCACTAATTTCGAACTTGGTAAACCTCATTCTATGAGAAATAATGCCAAATTAGAAATAGCTATTTCGAAATAAGTGCTGTGTAGACACTTATTTCAAAATAGGGGGCCTCCAGCCTTCCCAGGGTGCCCTGGTGGCCACTCCAGCATCAACCAAGAACATAAGTTCCCCTCCCTGGAGCCCTTAAAGGGGTAGACTCTGGCCACAGTGCCTGTGCCAGCTCCAAGCCTGCCAGCCCAGAGCCAGCAGTCACTGCCCTGACCCAGTGGCCCCAAAACATAAGCCAGCAAGCCACTGGAAGCCAGCCCTCCACCACTCCCCAGGAGCCATCTGCCAGCTCCCAGGAGCCTGCCAGGGCCCGGAGAAGGTGGGCGCCTTCCTGGTCCAGGGTAGAGATCATGGACCTTATTCAGGTTTGGGGGAAATGCCCCCAATGTCCATGATCTCTGCACTAGACAGAGAAACGCAGCCGTCTATGGCAGGATAGCTGTCAGCCTGGCCACCAAAGGCCACATGCAAACCCAGGAGCAGGTTTGTATGACAATCAAGCAAGCCCCACAACCATGAGCCCTGAGCTTCCCCTCCCCCTTCTTCTCCTTGCTTTGCCCTTCCAGCTCCCTCCTCCCAGGTTTCCCCCTCCCCTCTCCCACTCTCTCTCCTCCTCTCTGCTGCCTCCTTTCCCCAGTCTTACCAGAGTTTCATCCCCCCCCCCCCCCCCCTTTTTTTTATTAACAAAATACTTGCTTTGCCCTTCCAGCTCCCTCCTCCCAGGTTTCCCCCTCTCCTCTCCCACCCTCTCTTCTCATCCCTCCTGCCTCCTTTCCCCAGTCTCACCAGAGTTTC